GTCACATACAATATTCTTATGTAAATAAACTATTAATCATGTAAGATTTCCTTATTAGAGTCTATTTGTGCATTGTTTTCATATTGGTGTTATTTCATTATACAAGATTCACAGTATTGGTATTACTGATCAAAGATAATTAACCTAAAATAGCTGTTGATACAGATGTCCTAATGTATATCCAATACAGTTATACAATTACAAAGTCACCATCAATAAAGGATTAACCACTGTATATCACATTTTCCCATATAAATATTATTCACTATATCTTATTTAATGGATGCACAGAACATAATTTTTCATTTTCCTTTATTTTGCATTAGTATGATTGTGCAACTGAAATAGAATTTTTAAAATTATACATTTAAGTACTAACGATATTTCTTCTTTTGTTTGTCTATTTCCATTTCGTCATGTTATTTTTTTTCCTCATTAACTTGTAAAAATCATTTTTAAAGACAAGCAATTACTTCTACCATACTTGCAATTTTGTCTTAAAGTGTGTTAACACATTGAACACTAACTGAACTATTTTATGTCACAAGCACCATGACAACAGGTTTATATACACTGGCTCACTTAATTCTTAACAGTAATTATGAGACAGGTGCTATTGTTAGCCCCATTTCATAGATAGGAAACTAAGGTATACAACAATTAACTAACACTTAGTAGGAAAGCTAGATGCCAAAATCTAGCAGGTTGATTTTCAAGCTCTGACTACTTCTTCAGAAAAATCTAACACCTTACAAGGATATATTTCCTTTGGTTTATCTTTGAGCGGTTATTTAAGGCTCTGAGTAGGAAGAATTCCATTGTGTTTAATTTATATTTTTGTCCTGTGATTAGAGGGGGGAATTACTAATTTCTAATCATTTCCTGCTCTGTGAAATATATTTTAAAAAGTGTTACAATTCCTGGCCAACATGGTGAAACCCCATCTCTACTACAACTACAAAAATTACCCGGGTGTGGTGGTGCGCATCTGTAATCCCAGCTCCTCAGGAGGCTCAGAGAATTGCTTGAACCCGGGAGGCAGAG